TCCATTTGAGTTCATTCTTTGATTCTAAAAGTTCACCTCTAAGACCTTTATTCTCAGCAAGCAGCTGTTTCTTTTCTTCCTCGTTAATTTTCAATAACGTGATGATTTTATCGTATTTAACACTGGTAAACTGAATAGCTTTCGTTGCTTCTTCCAGTTGTTTTATAAAAGGCTGCAAACTTTTCTCGAGCTTTTCTTCGAGCATAGATTCAATTTTCTCATATGTTACAGGCATATTTTCACAGACTAAACGTACAACATATAATATAACAAAATTATCAACCAAAAAAGAAGAAAAATGGATATTTATTTCACTTTTATTGATATCATTTGCGAACTCAAAGAATTTGTCGCCATCTTGATTTTGGTGCTTCCACATGTGCTTTAACGATATGCCATGCATTGTATGAACGTAAATATTTAACTCTTACCATAAAAAAACATTAATGGTAATTTAATTTTTTCCCAGTGAATATGATTAGTTAACGAAAAGCATCACAGATATAACGTTCTTCATATAATAAAAAAAAAGCTGAAATTTGTAATCTTCTTTCGCATTTATTTTTAACTGCTGTTTCTTTTAAAGGAATAATAAGCGTTCCATTCAAAATTTTGGAATCTGCCTGTTTGGAAAATGTGTGGCACAGACAACACCTGGATGACACCAAGTACCATCTACCCTAGAGCTCCACACATGGTGAAGCTGTTTTCAAGTGGTCGTCAGGTTAATTGAGATAAAGATTGCCCAAAAGTTTGTCAAGTGGCATTGCAAAAATAAAGGTGGCACAAACCTGACAGCCTTGGCTAATGTTGGAATGGTAAAAAATCCACCACAGCAACCAAGAGACGAAAGGGTTCAAGAGAAGAAAGGCTGCATGAATTGGAGACTGTTACCAGTCGATTTGCCAACACATCTGCCAACCATCCCAAACCTGCTAGACCTACACCTGGGTTTGGTAGATTCTCAATAGGAAATTTTTAATTTCTGAATGTGAACATATCTGTTTGTTATGGTTGTCAGCAGATGCTTGAAAACAGATTCCTGATGAGCTGAATGTCTGGTCATTGTTAGCGTGGCAAAGAGACACTACTGGCAAGATGGTGTGTTGGTTATGTCATTGGAGATCTTGAATATTTATTACCACCTGAATCCAAATTGTGTGGCGTAGAAAAATGCTTTCTTCCTGCCAAGCTTCATTCAAGTACCAGACGACTTGAAGCCATTTCTCTGAACAATATATTACTTTCTTATTCTAGTCAGGTTGATAGAAGGAAAAAACTTACGATATTGTGGGACAATTTCATATTGTGCCCTGAAGGCTAGTTAGTACGTTTCTGTATGTTGGCCACGTAAAAATTTCTTGTTGACTCCTGCCGACACGTTTTTCTTCAAATGTTGTATTCAACTCTATTACAGTTAAAAAATGTGAAATTTCAAATACATTTCTAACACAAATGACTTACATAATTTGAAAGCTTGCACAAAACTACATATAAGACATTTAAACGGTTACCCGGGTTTTTCAAGTTCTTCTTGAGTTATGAGCTGTTGAATGCATGTTTTCAGACTAGTACCCAGGAATTTTGCGAGATTTTGGCTTATTTTTCACATTTGAAACAGCAATAATTTGAAAACCCCTTGAAAATCCGAACTAACCATTTAAATGTCTTATATGTAGTTTTTTGTTAGCTTTCTATTTGTCGAAGAGATATTAACATTCCAGTATATAGCATATATAGCTCAGGACTTTAGCGCATGTGCATGAGGATATTTACATGTGCTCGATTCAGAGATTGACTAAAACTATAGCGTATTTGGTTTATATTCTACTATAAAGGTTATACTATTTCTATGCATATTACTCTATTAAACGAAGTCAAGTACTCTATTTCCGTCATATACATTCTACTCTACACTATTGATACAAGTCATTTGTATTAGAAATGTATCAGAAATGTATCAGAAATTTCACATTTTTTAACTGTAATAGAGTTTAAATACAAAATTTGAAGAAAAACGTGTCAGCAGGAGCCCACAAGAAATTTTAACACGGCCAACGTACAGAAACGTACTTATTAGCCTTCAGGGCACAATATGAAGGCAAAATGGAATTGTCCCACGATATGGTAAGTTTTCCATAATTTTGGTCCCCTATCTGTTGACTATTCCATCCATAAGCGGAGTCAATTTGCAACAGCTAAGTGTATATAAAAAAATTGACATAAAATTTTCCGCAAACTTGTCATCAAGCTTAATAGAAAAAATGTAACTGCAGATAAAGTCACCAAGTCGTGCGAAAGGTGTGAAACATTTTTTTAAGTTTTGGAAAGGTTTATATTTGTGTAGCAGCCTTGGAATTTTGGGGTCTAGAAGATCTGTGCAGCACACTAACAAAACGTACTCACTCAGCTGGCATTGCCCATCAGTTCTTAAACAAGAAGGAGTATTTTGACAAAGTTGTCTGTGAATTCATTGATGAATTTGTCATGGCTGATTCAGAAAGAGAGGAAATCAATCAATACAAAGAATGAATACAAGGAATTGCACTGCATTGCATTCCATATGCAAATGATATGCGGCCTGAGGCAAAAAACGAAGGAAAGCTTGGGTTGATTTTGTTCGATGGGAACCATCTGTCCATTCAGAAGTTTGCGCAAAGCATTTCAACGAAGAGGACTTTGGAAGCCATTTCATCGGCCTCAACGAAATGCCTGGTGCAGAGAAACCATTGCTTGTGGCTCCTCGTTTGAAGCAAGATGATATGGAAACCAGCATGTCATCCTCAAGAGATTGCCGTTGCATTGTAAGTGTCATCAATGTTCTATTGTTTACAAGTTTCGATTTATTTTATCGCAATATGTGGTGTGATGAATATATGAATAATATTTTTATATTTGAAGGTGTTGAGCAACTGAGCAAGTAGAATAGTATTATGATTTATGACACCCAGTATGAAACTTATATATTTTTTTTACTTTTAGACTTTCCATGCTAAGCACACAGAAAATGGGAAGTGTGGTGCTACAGAAACACAGCCCAGTTCAATGGAGAGTGGTGATCAATGCTCAATAGGGGAGAGTGGTCAGCCTGACTTCTCAGTCGAGACATTTGAGCAAACTTTGACTGCAGAAGTTGGTGAACTAGAAAGGGTGAGCAGAAATCTATGCAATTTTTTCATGATTTAGTTTGTACCATATTACTCGATTTAATATAGCCATACAGCACAATATATAAATTCTAATTTTACTAGATAGTGATAATTCATCATTAAGTGATGATAACATTGGAGATGTAAGCAATATCCCTTGGTGATATTGAAAGTGATGATTCAGAACCTTTTACATCAGAGCCATCCACACTATCAGAGGTTGAAGAACCGTCAATGGAACAGTCCTCAACTGATACAGAATCAGAAGCTGGGGAGGATGCAGTTGGGACAAGGTGTGTGTGGGCTATTTTATTTAGGTTTGATAGCGAAACGGACAGCGAAACGATGAAATATTTTGCTAAACACGTGGTGAGTGTGTTGTTGTCGAAGCCGAAGGTGAAACAGAAAAAGTCGAACACAAATTGAAAGACAAACATTCCTGCGGACAGTGTGACTCCTATAAAGAAGAAATTACTAGCTACAGTCACTGAAATTGTAAAGAAACAAGAGGAAGATCGACAAAACAACAACCTAAATGATGCAGAAACAAAGGCCAAGATACAAACTCTTGTCGAACACAATGACAAGATGGCGGCTGAAATAGAATCGCTGAAGGTCTAACGTAGAAGAAACCACAGGAGACAACAAACTTATCAAACATGTTCTTGACATTAAACAGGGGGAATTGACCAAGGTAAATCAGAAGAAAATCTCGAAAGAAGAAGAAAAAAGCGCGACAACTGAAAATTCCATCATAAATCAAAACCGTTTTCAATATCTATCCTTTGAAGATATTACAAACAACATCCCAAACCTTGAGGAATACGAAATAGAGCAAACGAGCAACAGCGTGAATTGACAAATGAGTGACTACCATGAAAGAAACAGACGCAAATATGAAAATTCAAAATTAAACCCAAAGGCAAAGAAAATATCAAAGAAAACTCAAAGGCACAGCACTGACAGAGACAACAGCACAACTTCCGCACCACGAACCCAAGAAAGGCAAGAGAAGAGTGTTCTTGTGATAGGGGACTCCATGGTGAAAAACATCGACGATAGAAAGCTTGAAAGGGCTGCAAGAGCAAAGACCGTCTGCCATTCCTACAGTGGAGCGACTGTGAAACAAATTGAAGAAAATGGAATGAGAATCAACAATATGAGAAAGTCATCCTTCATGTTGGAACCAATGATCTGGCTCGCCAAGAACCAAATGAAGTAGCCGAGAATATGGAAGCACTTGTAAGTAAAATGAAAACCCATGCAAAGGAAATTGCAGTTTCCAGCGTTGTCAAAAGGTATGCCAATAAGGTTAAACCTAGCAGTATTATGCAATATAATAATTTATTACATGAATTATGCATTGGCATAAAATTGCATATATTGATAACAATTGTATAGACAAGCCATTGTTAAATCGATCGAACCTCCACTCAAACCGAAATGGTGATAAAGCTCTGGGTAGTGCATTCTGTGCATATTTGAAACCCAAAACAGCCACAAGAATGCCTGTATCATCTACAATGAACAGTGAAAATTTTTTTTGGCCAGCTCAAAGACACCAGATGAGAGACTGGACAAAATACCTAAGATATGTACACCAAGTATTACACCAGTAACTTGTAATAATTCGACAAACAAAAATGTGAGTAGCAACTTTTCCAAACTTTTAAACTCTATTCCCAATGAAAGAGGTTTTAAAATGGCCTTTTTGAATATTGTTAGTCTGCCAAAAAAAATAGATGACATTCGGCACTCCATGTCTAACAAAACTATTGATTTAATTGCATTTAACGAGACACGGCTTGATTCAAGTTTTACTGATAACTTGATTCCTTTAGACGGCTATGATATAATTAGAAAAGACAGATCACGAAATGGTGGTGGCATTTGCATATATTTGCGTAGCTCCATGAATTACAAAATCCGATCTGACCTAATTCCATCTGAATTAGAGGATGTTTGTGTAGAAATTACTAAACCACACAGTCAACCATTTATTGTTACAACTGTTTACAGACCACCAATGCATCATCAGATTTCTTTGACCATCTTGAAAAGTTGATCAAACAAATCGATGATGAGAATAAAGAAATGTATTTGATGGGTGATCTAAATTGTGACATGTTAAAAAAGGAAAAGCTTTCTAATGTGCCAACAAAAAAACTGAACTCATTATATGAATTGTACCAATTGTCTCAATTAATTGATGAACCTACTCGAATTACAATGACAACGTCCAGCCTCATTGACCATATTATTACCAATACACTGGAAAAAATTTCTCATTCTGGTGTTATTCACACTGGAATCAGTGATCACAGTTTAGTATTTGCGATCAGAAAAATCCGAATTATGGAAAAGAAAGAGAAAAACACTGTTGAAATAAGAAATATGAAAAATTTTGATGAAAAAAAGCTTGTAGATGAACTTTTAACTCAGCATTGGGAATATGTTTATTTTTTTGGCAATGACCCAAACTGCTATGTGGGAAATTTGGAAGGAACTTTTCCTAGACGTATTAGACAAATACGCACCACTCCAACAAAAAAAGGTCAGATCTAGCAAGATCCCTTGGATCACAAGTAAAATTAAGAACCTCATTAATACACAAGACAAACTAACACGGTGGGGATTTATTGCCTCGAAAACGCTCACTTAAGTGTAACTTTGAGTACTTTTATCCAATTGACCCGATATTTTATACTTTGACAGATCGTTTAATTCTAAGATATGCTCTCGTTTCACTTTTTCGAATTTTTCAAATTTTGGCGGGAAAATGACGTCATCCTTTTGGCGCCAATATTTTGTTTAAGTGTTAAGACTTCCTTAGTTAATTTTTCTAAAGTAATATGTTGTGTAAACTTCAAAACCGAAACAATAATTGAATTATCTTAATTCAATCAAGAGTTATAAAGGATAGAATATTCAGATTTCGGCCATTTTGGGCTATTTTTAGTAACAAAATGGCCGAAATCTGAAAGTTCCATCCGTTATAACTCTTGATCGAATCAAGATAATTCAATTATATTTTCGGTTTTGAAGTTTACACAAAATCTTAATTTAGAAAAATTAACTAAGGAAGTCTTAACACTTAACAAAATATTGGCGCCAAAAGGATGACGTCATTTTCCCGCCAAAATTTGAAAAATTCGAAAAAGTGAAATGAGAGAATATCTTAGAATGAAATGATCTGTCAAAGTATAAAATATCAGATCAATTGGATAAAAGCCCTCAAAGTTACACTTATGTGAGCATTTTCGAGGCAATAAATCCCCACTGTGAAAAAGAAAAGCAATTATAAGTAAATCAGAAATAGATTGGATAAATTACAAAAAAGTTAGGAATCAGGTGAATATTGAATTAAGAAATGCTAAACAAAACTATTATTCCACGAGAATTGCAGGTCAAAAATGTAATCCAAAGAAAGTGTGGAAATCCATAAACAATTTACTAGGCAAACAAACTGTAGTGAATGAATTAAATATTTAAACAATCCACAAGAAATTGTGGAAGGCTTCAATGAATATTTTTCAAATATTGGGCCTGATTTAGCAAGTAAACTTGATATGCCCAAATGCAATTTTGAGACATATGTTAAAAAATCTACATCAGAGTTTGCTGCATTCCAACCTACAACTGTTAATGATATATTTAATTTATTGTGTGGATTATCGAGCAATAAAGCAACTGGCATTGATAAGATTTCATGCAAAATTATTAAGATAGCTGCACCTGCCATTGCAGATTCGCTAACACATATATTTAATCAGGCTATTACTTTATCGTCCTTCCCTGATCAATGGAAGGTGGCTAGTGTAACACCTCTCTACAAAAATGGTCAACGAAATATTCCTGGAAACTACAGGCCAATTTCAGTTTTACCAGCAATAAGCAAAATCATGGAACGAATTCTGTATAATCAACTATACAATTATTTAACCAAATTTGATTATCAAGTAACTCCCAATTTGGTTTCCGGAAATCTCACTCTACAGCAACAGCATTATTAGACTGTACTAATGAGTGGTATGTTAATTTAGATAGGAAACTATTTAACTAAATAGTTTTTATTGATTTAAAAAAAGCATTTGATACTGTTGATCACCATATTCTCCTAAAAAAGTTGGAGTTATATGGAATAAAAGGACAAGCTCTTTCTTTTCTAAAATCCTAACTCACAAATCGCAGCCAAAAGTGTAAAATGAATGGATTTATTTCATCAGAGCGCCTGATTAAATGTGGTGTACCACAAGGTTCTATTTTAGGACCATTATTATTTCTGTTGTACATCAATGACTTGCCCGAGTGCCTTAATATTACAAGACCTCAACTATTTGCTGATGACACAAATCTCACAGCTTCTGGAGACTCAATGAATGATGCTGAGTTTGCAGTAAATTCTGATTTAGAAAACCTTAGAAATTGGTTAATAGCCAATAAACTCAGCCTGAATGTAGCTAAAACTGAATTCATGTTGATTGGCTCAAAACGAATGATAAAAGATTCTCACCCAAATATTTTCATTGAAAACAAACAAATCAAGCAAGTTTATGAATGCAAAACTCTTGGAATAATAGTTGACCAACATTTATCTTGGAAAAGTAATACTAAAAATATTTGCAAAAAAATAACAGCAGGAATCTCTGCTCTCCGTCGTATCAAACCTTTTGTTGACAAAGATACACTCATTTCAATATATAACACTATTGTTCGTCCACACTTCGATTATTGTTGTGAAGTGTGGGATGTATTAGGTAAAACTCAGTCTAAACGACTTCAAAAACTCCAAAATAGAGCCGCTCGAGTCATCATGAGTATGAGCAATGATACTGATTATTCTATTGCTTTACATGCCTTGGGCTGGGAGCCACTTACGTTGATGAGAAAAAAGGCAAAAGCAAAACTGATGTACAAAACTTTGAATAAAATGGGTCCAGAGTCACTCGCAAATCTTTTTACCTATAAAAGTGAGGTGACAAGTCACAAACTTCGGGGTATTTCCAGTGGTCTTTGTTTGCCACAACCTCGAACTAATAATATGAAAAATAGTTTCATGTACGACGGTGCTCACATATGGAATTCTATTCCAAGCGAAATTAGGGAGTGCAAATCCTTATCATGTTTTCAAAATAAAATTGCTACTCACATTTTTAATTAAAACAAGAACCTAAAACAACCTTAAATATAAACCTGTAAATATATATAGATTTACTTAGATTTACTTAGATTTACTTAGATTTAGTTGATATTATCTTTTGTAATTAGCTTTTGTAAATATTCTTGTACTTTCTTATTGCACGCCCCCTGTGGAAATCAGCTTTGGTTGACAGGGTTAGCCTGGGTAAATAAAGTTTTTACTATTTTTTTACTACTAGCGATTTACTTTGCATTGAACAGTACTTCTCACATTCATTACATTAATTTAATGTGCACTGTTCTCCAGTACCTCTGGACAGTATTCTGTCGAACACCATGTGATAGTGATTGTATGCAAATACAAGCCAAACTATTTTATACAGTTATATACAATAGGCAATTCCAGCTTTTAGTTTATGTGTGCAGGAGGGGG